TCTAAAGGGAAAGCCTGCCACGTCACGGACACCGACACCTCGGCCACGTCACGGACACCGACACCTCGGCCACGTCACGGACACCGACACCTCGGCCACGTCACGGACACCGACACCTCGGCCACATCACGGACACCGACACCTCGGCCACGTCACGGACACCGACACCTCGCTCCGGGATGAGCTAAACACCTTCTACACTTCGAGGAAAACAACATTGAGCCACCGACACGGGCCCCCTGCCACTCACGAGGACGGTGTGCTCTCGTTCTCCGTGGCTGACGTGAGTAAGTCATTTAAGCGTTTTAACCCTCGCAAGGCTGCCGGCCCAGACGGCATCCCTAGCCGCGTCCTCAGAGCATGTGCAGACCAGCTGGCTGGTGTGTTTACGGACATATTCAATCTCTCCCTATTCCAGTCTGCTGTCCCCACTTGCTTCAAGATGTCCACTAATTTTCCTGTAACCAAAAAGCGAAGGTCACTGAACTAAATGACTATCGCCCCGTAGCACTCACTTCTGTCATCATGAAGTGCTTTGAGAGGCTAGTTAAGGATCATATCACCTCCACCTTACCCAACACCCTAGACCCACTGCAATTCGCATACCGCCCCAACAGATCCATGGATGACGCAATCGCCATCACACTGCACACTGCCCTATCCCACCTGGACAAAAGAAATACCTATGTGAGAATGCTGTTCATTGACTACAGCTCAGCCTTCAACACCATAGTGCCCTCCAAGCTCATCACTAAGCTCTGGGCCCTGGGTCTGAACCCTGCCCTGTGCTACTGGGTCCTGGACGTCCTGACGGGCCGCCCCCAGGTGGTGAAGGTAGGAAACAACACCTCCGCCACGCTGATTCTCAACATGGGGGCCCCTCAGGGGTGCGTGCTCAGCCCCTTCCTGTACTCCTTGTTCACCCATGATTGAGTGGCCACACATCTCCAACTCAATCATCAAGTTGCTGACAACACAACAGTGGTAGGCCTGATTACCAACAACGATGAGACAGCCTATGGCGAGGAGGTCAGAGACCTGGCCGTGTGGTGCCAGGATAACAATCTTTCCTTCAACATGATCAAGACAGAGGAGATGATTTTGGACTACAGGAAATAAAAAAGGACTGAGCACTCCCCCATTCTCATCGACAGGGCTGTAGTGGAACAGGTTGAGAGCTTCAAGTTCCTTGGTGCCACATCACCAAAAAAACTATCATGGTCCAAACATACCCAAGTGGTTGACATGATTACCACAAAACAACGATGAGACAGCCTACAGTGACGGAGTGGTGGGAGCCATGATGGAGGAGTGATGGACAGGAAAAACTGACACCTTCTCTCCCTGTAGTCAGGTGAGACGTTCTTGGGTCCACCACAACGAACTATCTGGTCAAACATACGTGGACTTACCAACAGATGAGACAGCCTACAGTGAGCAGTGAGAGTGTTGCCATCCCCTTCCCCAACATCAACAAACGAGGGCGATTGGGCCAGGAGCATGCGAGAGGGCAAAAGCTTCATGTTCCTCGGCGTACACATCACTGACAAACTGAAATGGTCCCTTCACACAGACAGTGTGGTGAAGAAGGCGCAACAGCGCCTCTTTAACCTCAGGAGGGCCTTTAGACCGTCACAAACTTCTACAGATGCACCATTGAGAGCATCCTGTCGGGCTGTATCACCGCCTGGTACGGCAACTGCACCGCCCGCAACCGCAGGGCTCTCCAGAGGAGGGTGCGGTCAGCCCAACGTATCACCAGTGGCACACTACCTGCTCTCCAGGACATCTACAGGAAGCCCAAGAAGATCATCAAGGACCTCAGCCACGGCCTGTTCACCCCTCTACCATTTGGCAACTCGAACCTTCAGCTCCCTACACAGATTTCCTATGGTGTTAAGGTCTGGAGACTGGCTAGGCCACTCCAGGACCTTAATGTGCTTCTTCTTGAGCCACTCCTTTGTTGCCTTGGCCGTGTGTTTTGGGTCATTGTCATGCTGGAATACCCATCCACGACCCATTTTCAATGCCCTGGCTGAGGGAAGGAGGTTCTCACCCAAGATTTGACGGTACATGGCCCCGTCCATCGTCCCTTTGATGCGGTGAAGTTGTCCTGTCCCCTTAGCAGAAAAAAACCCCAAAGCATAATGTTTCCACCTCCATGTTTGACGGTGGGGATGGTGTTCTTGGGGTCATAGGCAGCATTCCTCCTCCTCCAAACACGGCGAGTTGAGTTGATGCCAAAGAGCTCGATTTTGGTCTCATCTGACCACAACACTTTCACCCAGTTCTCCTCTGAATCGTTCAGATGTTCATTGGCAAACTTCAGATGGCCCTGTATATGTGCTTTCTTTAGCAGGGGGACCTTGTGGGCGCTGCAGGATTTCAGTCCTTCACGGTGTAGTGTGTTACCAATTGTTTTCTTGGTGACTATGGTCCCAGCTGTCTTGAGATCCTTTATGAGATCCTCCCGTGTAGTTCTGGGCTGACTCCTCACCGTTCTCATGATCATTGTAACTCCACAAGGTGAGATCTTGCATGGAGCCCCAGGCCGAGGGAGATTGACAGTTCTTTTGTGTTTCTTCCATTTGCGAATAATCAAACCAACTGTTGTCACCTTCTCACCAAACTGCTTGGCGATGGTCTTGTAGCCCATTCCAGCCTTGTGTAGGTCTACAATCTTGTCCCTGACATCCTTGGAGAGCTCTTTGGTCTTGGCCATGGTGGAGAGTTTGGAATCTGATTGATTGCTTCTGTGGACAGGTGTCTTTTATACAGGTAACAAACTGAGATTAGGAGCACCCTCTTTAAGAGTGTGCTCCTAATCTCAGCCCGTTACCTGTATAAAAGACACCTGGGAGCCAGAAATCTTTCTGATTGAGAGGGGGTCAAATACTTATTTCCCTCATTAAAATGCAAATCAATTTATAACATTTTTGACATTAGTTTTTCTGGATTTTTTTGTTGTTATTCTGTCTCTCACTGTTCAAATAAACCTACCATTAAAAGTATAGACTGATCATTTCTTTGTCAGTGGGCAAACGTACAAAATCAGCAGGGGATCAAATACTTTTTCCCCTCACTGTAGGTACATAGTCATTGAACACTGGTCACTTTAATAATGTTTACATACTGTATTCTAGTCGTGGTTCATCCTATAGAACTACTGCTGTCCACTTCATATGTATATACTGTATTCTAGTGATGGCCTACATAATCCTATATAATTATTTTGGGGATTGTGTGTGTATTGTTTGTTTTGTATTACTGGACTAGAAACACAAGCATTTCTCTGCACCTGCGGTAACATCTGCAAATCTGTGTTGGAGAACCAATAAACGTTGATTTGATGCCGAACGCTATTTGGACTATTGGGAGGAGAAAGACAAAGCCACGACCAGAGAGATCGATCACTGGAGGGGAAGGAAGGTTCCAATCCGCTGCACAACCGTTCCGCCATCTTGCCTGGTACCGGCTGTGATAAGCTAGATAAGACAGTTATATCTCTATGGACACGATACCGAAGATGTTTTTAAAAAGTACAAGAAGAAGAACTTAGAGCTGGTAGGAACTGAGCTGTATTGTACCGGCTAGCTTGTCGGCCATATTGAAGACATAACACAAACGGATGTTCCTGAAGGAAACCGGTCTTGAAGTAGGTAGTTTTGTAATGTATATGTTTAGTATTTCAATGAGCAATTCGTTGGGTAGTGTTCGTTTTTGTCTTGACGGATGAAAAAAAACTGTAGACTACGATGTTTACAAGAAGGTACGTCTTCTAATGAATAGGCACTTTTTGTGAACAAAACTTTACGAACTAGTGACTTTATGAACAACTGACTGTACGAACTAGTGACTGAATGATTTGAAGTTATTACATATCTAGTACCAGCTCTACATGAAGAGAGCTTGATTCAATCAGAGAGACAATCTAGTTGAAACAGATTTAGCTGTGAAGTATGATCATTTAAACCCTTCATCTATTGGATTGCTACAGTAGCGTCAGAAGATTCTCAGTACAATTCTCAGAATGTTCTAGACAGAAACACTGTCGCAGACGTTGGTAAAATAAAAAATAAAAATGTTCATCCTCTTAGAATTTATACACATCTCCAATTCAAATTTTAAATGTACAATGGAAGGAGTTGGCAATGGCTTAGGATTTCCCTGGTTTGAACAATACACAAATGAATCTGAATGGGTCACCCGTCACAGCATACAACATAGCTGTTTTCAATTGCGCTTTACAATTCAACGGCAAACCGCCTCAAAGTACTTTCTAAAGTAACTTTGCCAGGTCGTTTTGGCTTAATTCTTTAGTTCATGTTTATCGATATGGACAGTGTACATTTGCACTGACAATAAAACAAATGACATGTGAGTGCTTTGTGGTTTAATTTCCTTTTTTAAGTCATTTCATAGAAGTTGCATTATTTACATAGTCTTAAAGTTAGTATCAACTGCAGAGAACTGTGATTAGAATATTGTCCACAAAACGACATGAATACATTATATACTGTACATAATGTTGTGTGGGTGAACGGATGATCTCCATGTGTATTTCCCACCATGAAGCATGGAGGAGGAGGTGTTATGGTGTGGGGGTGCTTTGCTGGTGACACTGTCTGTGATTTATTTAGAATTCATGGCACACTTAACCAGCATGGCTACCACAGCATTCTGCAGCGATACGCCATCCCATCTGGTTTGGGCTTAGTGGGACTATCATTTGTTTTTCAACAGGACAATGACCCAACACACCTCCAGGCTGTGTAAGGGCTATTTGACCACTATTATTCTACAATGTAGAAAATAGTAAAAATAAAGAAAAACCCTTGAATGAGTAGGTGTTCTAAAACTTTTAACCGGTTGTGTGTGTGTGTGTGTATATATATATATATATATATATATATATATATATATATATATATATACATACACATATACACACACACACACACACACACACACACACACATATATATATATATATATACACACACACATACATACATACATACACTTTCAGCTTTATGAATACAGGCCATGGTCCAGTCACTTCTTTGTTTAAATATGTACTGAGATCAGCAGTTAGCTGTGAACTGGTAACGTGTGTATCTGTTTGTTCTGGTCGTACTCCATGCGTCCATTCCTGAACCCCGGCTCCTCGCTCTCCATCCACGTCTCCTGACTGAAGTCTGGGAAGAAGAAACCGATCTCCCTGCGTGCCGATTCTGCCGAATCTGGAAACGGGAGGAGTTGTACATTCATTTATAAGAAGACCTTTATTATCCCAGGCTTGGGAAATTAGTTTGGCATGTTAGGTTTCACAAGATTATTACACAACCTCAGGAGTTAAAGAACATAATTGGTTAAAGAACATTGTGATAAAAAAATAATAAAAAATAAAAATGTGTTATTTATATATTTTAGAATTTTTATTTTTTTTTTATTTATAGATTTTTTACATTTAGCAGACGCTCTTATCCAGAGCGACTTACAGGAGCAATTAGGGTTAAGTGCCTTGCTCAAGGGCTCATCGACAGATTTTTCACCTAGTCGGCTCGGGGATTAGAACCAGCGACCTTTCGGTTACTGGCACAACGGTCTTAACCACTAAACGCTACCTGCAGCCCCACAAAGTATACCAGTTTAATTTAAGGACCAAAGGATTGACAGCCGTCCCATATAGATGGCAAAATAGTTGGGAAGAGATTTGTGATGTACCGATCCCATGGCATAGTGTTTATGAACTGATACACAAAACGACGCTGGATTCAAAACATAACTTTCAATTTAAATTATTATACAAAATTCTTGCTACCAATAGAATGTTATTTATATGGGGGATACAATCTTCCCAACTCTGCAGATTTTGCTGCGAAGAGACAGAATCATTCGATTATTTGTTTTGGTACTGTCCATTTGTAGCTTGTTTTTGGACACAGGTCCAGGAATGGTTAAAGGATTGCAATATTTATCTGGAGCTAACCCTGCAGATAGCATTACTGGGTGATCTGAAAAGTCATAGTCAATCGATCAATAATATAATAATACTTTTAGCAAATATGTTTATTTCAATTTACAATCTGTAGAAACAATGAGAATAGAAAGGTTCAGAACTTTTGTAAAACATCACAGTACAGTTGAAATATATGGCAAATAGAAATCCAATATGGATGGTGTTCAGAAATAGATGGGAGGTGTTAAATGGAGTTGAAGGATGGGACTAATAACAACTAACAACAACTAATAACAACAAGACAACTAATGTAAAGCATACTGTGTCCATAATAAGTATATAGGTTATAGGTTGAGAGCTTTTGTGAAAGAGCACAGTTAGAAAGATATGGCATATAGAAGCAAACCGGATGGACATCATGAAAATGATCGGAGAGGTTGAGAGTAGAAGAAGTTCAGGAGTAAAAACAAACCAAATATAATTATTGTAAAATTGACTGTGTCCATAAAATGTATATAGTATGTATAAGCTGGAAGTAGAGGCCTAAGCATTGTTGTTCACTAGTTTACTCCAATTAGGGAAGGGGTGGTGAGGTTGGAAAGTAATTAAGGGAAATATATTTTTAAAAAGGATATGTGTATGTATGTATGTATGTATGTATGCATGCATGCATATATATATATATATATGCATATATATATATATATATATATATATATATATATATATATATATATATATATATATATATATACGAGAAAAAAAACATATGGGGAAAAAAACATATGGGGGATTGGAAGTGATGCAGACAATTACATTGATAGAAGTTACAATCTATCTGCAATATTAAAGCTGATCTACCCCCTAACAAAAGAAATTATTAAAGGGTTTATGGAAATTACTATTAGTGTGATCAACTAATCTTTAAATGACATTGATGTTCTGAAAGTTATGGCATACAGTTTATGGTCAGGAGACCCAACCACCAGCACCAACCAAAATATGAAGATAAAGTTGTATATGGGCTGCGGTGCCCCAAAAGTATTGTAGACTGCAAATCAGTAGAGGAGATTACTGAGCAGGGGAAAAAAAGCCCCGACGTTTCAGCTGTTGCCTTTCTCAAAGGATTCTGGTTGTCTAATAAAAAACCTATATTGATAGCTATCATACACAATTAATACCCTAGATCATTTGATTGACAGCTATAAGTAACTGTCAGTGTGGGTGTTGCGTGTATGGTCCCTCACACAGAAACATTGTGTACGTCTCTTCCTATATAAATCAGGACCAGAATGTCCTGACAAGGTAGAATCATTCTTTTTTCCCATGTCCTGAATTTGTAAAAATTGTATTTTAGTCTTAAGGTGCCAGTATGAAAAAAAATACTCACTAACTGTAAGTGGCTCTGGATAAGAGCGTCTGTTAAATGACTAAAATGTCAATGTAAATGTAAATAGGGATCCATTTTAGACCCATGAGAGTCCTGGGGGACTTACCAGAGCCGTGTGTGGTATTCCTGGTGTCAGTGAGTCCATACTGGGCTCTGATGCTTAAGGGCGATGTGTAGTGGGCCCTGAACACCTTGGTAGGACCCATCAGTTCTCTCCAGTGGGTGATGGCGTCCTCTCTAGCCAGGACGTACGCCCGCATCGGACCACTGGATCACAACAGACAAAAATGGGGGGAAAAAACGTTAAAACTAGGGAGCCTTTAGACAAAAGAGTTCCACCCATTCTGTGTGAGGTAAATAAATATCACAGGGCCCCGTGTAGCTCAGTTGGTGCTAAATGACTAAAATGTAAGGCACAAGAGTACCACCTTTAAATATCCTTACAAGCCAGTGATGGCCTCAAATTATATTTGCTTTGTACATTTCATTGGACTACAGGTCAAAATGCTCTTCAATCGAACGCTGCTGGCACCCGCCCGCCCGACTAGAATCACTACTCTCGGCGGGTCTGACTTAGAATATGTGGACAACTACAAATACCTAGGTGTCTGGTTAGACTGTAAACTCTCCTTCCAGACCTCACATTAAGCATCTCCAATCCAAAGTTAAATCTAGAAATCGGCTTCCTATTTCGCAACAAAGCCTCCTTCACTCATGCTGCTAAACATGCCCTCGTAAAACTGACTATCCTACCGATCCTTGACTTCGGCGATGTCATTTATAAAATAGCCTCCAACACTCTACTCAGCTAATTGGATGTAGTCTATCACAGTGCCATCTGTTTTGTCTCCAAAGCCCCATACACTACCCACCATTGTGACCTGCACGCTCTCGTTGGCTGGCCCTCACTACATATTCGTCGCCAAACCCACTGGCTCCAGGTCACCTATAAATCACTTCTAGGCAAATCCCTGCCTTATCTTAGATATTTGGTCACCATAGCAACACCCACCCATAGTATGCGCTCCAGCAGGTATATCTCACTGGTCATCCCCAAAGCCAACACCTCCTTTGGCCGCCATTCCTTCCAGTTCTCTGCTGCCAATGACTGGAACGAATTGCAAAAATCTCTGAAGCTGGAGACTCTTATCTCCCTCACTAACTGTAAGCATCAGTTGTCAGAGCAGCTTACCGATCACTGCACCTGTACACAGCCCATCTGAAATTAGCCCACCCAACTACCTCATCCCTATATTGTTATTTATTTTTCTCATTTGCACCCCAGTATCTCTATTTGCACATAATCTCTTGCACATTTATCATTCCAGTGTTAATACTATTGTAATTATTTTGCACTATGGCCTATTTATTGCCTTACCTCCATAACTTGCTACATTTGCACACACTGTATATATATTTTCTGTTTGTATCTTTGACTTTATGTTTTGTTTACCCCATATGTAACTCTGTGTTGTTGTTTTTAATCGCACTGCTTTGCTTTATCTTGGCCAGGTCGCAGTTGTAAATGAGAACTTGTTCTCAACTGGCTTACCTGGTTAAATAAAGGTGAAATAAAATAAAAATGTGGTGTTTGCTTAAATATTCATATGATCAAAACATGGTAAAGGACCAGATCTACTCAAAGACCCCCGATACACAGTAGCACAACAGGTTATAAAAGACAACCCACAAGGAAAAGAGAATCTAACCTTAAAAAATAAAACCTCAACGTTAAAACAAAACAAACAAGAAGCTGTGATGTCACCGCCACTCATCTACACACTCTTTCAGAACCTGGCTCTGGTCAAAAGTAGTACACTGCATAGGGAATAGGGTGCCATTTGGGATGCAGAACAAATGAGAATGGCGTGGAAGAACACCTTTAGAAGCCAGAGGGGTGCCCTGCATGGGGTCTACAGAACTAGGTCCAGTTCTGAATGAGGTGCTGACAGCAGCAGACAGCCCACAGAGCTGCCTCAAAGACTGGATGGATCCAAGTGGTTCGTACCGGGGGGGGGGGGGCTCTCAGAGGATAGAAATAGGACCAAGCTCAAGTGATGTAGTCTTTTATTGTGGGATGTCTCAACAGATGCTTTTCTATTCACTATGTATGTAAGCAACAGTACTTGAGTTTCCATGTGTTTGTCACATTCATACCGCTGAGATACGAAGGCTGCGTTTACACAGGCAGCCCAATTCCTATTCTCTTTCCACTAATTGGTCTGTTGACCAATCAGATCAGCTCTCTTTCCACTAATTGGTCTGTTGACCAATCAGATCAGCTCTCTTTCCACTAATTGGTCTGTTGACCAATCAGATCAGCTCTTTTGCCAATAATTGGGCAAAATATCAGAATTGGGCTAAGGTACGCCATTGAGTCAAAGTTAAATGAGTTACATCCTGTGTTTAGTTGTCATCTCAAAAGATACTTTTGTCTTTACATTCAACATCACATTATACTGGGAGATAAAGGTAAGTTATACAATACATATGAGTCAGAGAGCGCGTCCCAAATGGCAGCCTGTTCCCTATATAGTGCACTACTTTTGTCCAAATAGGGTGCCATTTGGGACACATTAAAGTTATGTAAGCTACATTAAAGTGTGAGGAGAAATGACTTGAAGCTTACCTGGACATGAACTCAACCAGTCTTTGGTAGAAGAACCGTCCTGAGAGATGAGACAGAGACACGAAGACACATTAAAGATATCAGGTGGTTCTATGTGGTGATATCAGGTGGTTCTATGTGGTGATATCAGGTGGTTCTATGTGGTGATATCAGGTGGTTCTATGTGATGATATCAGGTGGTTCTTTGTGGTGATATCAGGTGGTTCTTTGTGGTGATATAGAGTGCATTCAGAAAGTATTCAGACCCCATGACTTTTTCCACATTTTGTTACATTACAGCCTTATTCTAAAATGTATTAAATTGTTATTTCCCCTCATCAATCAACACACAATACCCCATAATGACAAAGCAAAAACAGGCTTTTAGAAATGTTTGCTAATTTATACAGAATTAACTGAAATATCACATTTACAGTATTCAGACCATTTACTCATGACTTTGTTGAAGCACCTTTTGCAACGATTACATTCTTGAGTGTTCTTGGGTATGACGCTACAAGCTTGGCACACCTGTATTTGGGGAGTTTCTCCCATTCTTCTCTGCAGATCCTCTCAAGCTCTGTCAGGTTGGATGGGGAGCGTCGCTGCACAGCTATTTTTCAGGTCTCTCCAGAGACGTTCGATCAGGTTCAAGTCCGGGCTCTGGCTGGGCCACTCAAGGACATTCAGAGACTTGTCCCGAAGCCACTCCTGCGTTGTCTTGGCTGTGTGCTAAGGGTCATTGTCCTGTTGGAAGGTGAACCTTCGACCCAGTCTGAGGTCCTGAGCGCTCTGGAGCAGGTTCTCATTAAGGAGCTCTCTGTACTGTGCTCCGTTCATCTTTGCCTCGATCCTGACTAGTCTCCTAGTCCCTGCTTCTGAAAAACATCCCCACAGCATGATGCTGCCACCACCATGCTTCACCGTAGGGATGGTGCCAGGTTTCCTCCAGACGTGACGCTTGGCATTCAGGCCAAAGAGTTCAATCTTGGTTTCATCAGACCAGAGAATCTTGTTTCTCATGGTCTGAGAGTCCTTTAGGTGCATTTTGGCAAACTCCAAGCGGGCTGTCATGTGCCTTTTACTAAGGAGGGGCTTCCGTCTGGCCACTCTACCATAAAGGCCTGATTGGTGGAGTGCTGCAGAGATGGTTGTCCTTCTGGAAGGTTCTCCCATCTCCACAGAGGAACTCTGGAGCTCTGTCAGACCATCGAGTTCTTGGTCACCTCCCTGACTAAGCCCTTCTCCACCGATTATCAGTTTGGCTGGGTGGCCAGCTCTAGGATGAGTTTTGGTGGATCCAAACTTCGTCCATTTAAAAATTATGGAGGCCACTGTGTTCTTGGGACCTTCAATGCTGCAGAAATGTTGTGGGACCCTTCTTCAGATCTGTGCCTCGACACAATCCTGTCTCGGAGCTCTACAGACAATTCCTTCGACCTCATGGTTTGGTTTCTGCTCTGACATGCACTGTCAACTGCGGGACCTTATATAGACAGGTGTGTGCCTTTCCAAATCATGTCCAATCAATTTAATTTACCGCAGGTGGATTCCAATCAAGTTGTAGAAACATCTCAAGGATGCTCAATGGAAACAGGATGCACCGGAGCTCAATTTCGAGTCTCATAGCAAAGGGTCTGAATACTTCTGTAAATAAGGTATTTGTGTTTTTTATTTTTCATAAATGTGCAAACATTTCTAAAAACCTGTTTTCACTTTATCATTATGGGGGTTTGTGTGTAGATTGATGAGGATTTTTATCCATTTTAGAATAAGGCTGTAACGTAACAAAATGTGGAAAAAGTCAAGAGGTCTGAATACTTTCCGAAAGGCACTGTGTGTGTGTGTGTACACACACACACACACACACACACACACACACACACACACACACACACACGGTCAAAAGTTTTAGAACACCTACTCATTCAAGGGTTTTTCTTTCTTTTTACTATTTTCTACATTGTAGAATAATAGTGAAGACATCAAAACTATGAAAAAACACATATGGAATCATGTAGTAACCACAAAAGTGTTAAACAAATCAAAATATATTCTATATTTGAGATTCTTCAAATAGCCACCCTTTGCCTTGATTACAGCTTTGCACACTCTTAGCATTTTCTCAACCAGCTTCATGAGGTAGTCACCTGGAATGTATTTCAATTAACAGGTGTGCCTTCTTAAAAGTTAATTTGTGTAATTTCTTTCCTTCTTAATGCGTTTGAGCCATTCAGTTGTGTTGTGAAGATAGCTGCCCGTTGCTGACAGGTGTAGAAAATCGAGCACACAGCCATGCAATCTCCATAGACAAACATTGGCAGTAGAATGGCCTTACTGAAGAGCTCAGTGACTTTCAACGTGGCACCGTCATAGGATGTCACCTTTCCAACAACTCAGGTCTTCAAATTTATTGTTAGAGCTGCCCCGGTCAACTGTAAGTGCTGTTATTGTGAAGTGGAAACATCTAGGAGCAACAACGGCTCAGCTGCGAAGTGGTAGGCCACACAAGCTCACAGAACGGGACCGCCGAGTGCTGAAGCGTGTAGCGCATAACAATAATCTGTCCTCGGTTGCAACACTCACTACCAAGTTCCAAACTGCCTCTGGAAGCAACGTCAGCACAATGACTGTTTGTTGGGAGCTTCATGATATGGGTTTCCATGGCCGAGCAGCCGCAAACAAGCCTAAGATCACCATGTGCAATGCCAAGCGTCGACTGGAGTGGTGTAAAGCTCGCCGCCATTGGACTCCGGAGCAGTGGAAATTAGTTCTCTGGAGTGATGAATCACACTTCACCATCTGGCAGTCCGACAGATTAATCTGGGTTTGGTGGATGCCAGGAGAACACTACCTGCTCCAATGCATAGTGCCAACTGTAAAGTTTGGTGGAGGAGGAATAATGGTCTGGGGGTGTTTTTCAGTGAAGGGAAATCTTAACACTACAGCATACAACGACAGTCTACACGATTCTGTGCTTCCAACTTTGTGGCAACAGTTTGGGGAAGGCCCTTTCCTGTTTCAGCATGACAATGCCCCCGTGCACAAAGCGAGGTCCATACAGAAATGGTTTGTCAAGATTGGTGTGGAAGAACTTGACTGGCCGGCACAGAGCCCTGACCTCAACCACATCGAACACCTTTGGGATGAATCGCCCAAAATCAGTGCCCGACCTCACTAATGCTCTTGTGGCTGAATGGAAGCAAGTCCCCGCAGCAATGTTCCAACATCTAGTGGAAAGCCCTTCCCAGAATAGTGGAGGCTGTTATAGCAGCAAAGTGGGGACAAACTCCATATCAATGCCCATGATTTTGGAATGAGATGTTTGACGAGAAGGTGTCCACATACTTTTGGTCATGGTGTGTATAGTGCTTTTAAAGCTGGAGTTGAAGTTGTGCCTTAAAAAGCTAGTCACAGTTAAAAGTATGTTCAGGCAGGAAAACAGATAATTAACTTCTAGCAGGCTTCACATAATAGATATGAGTCTGTCTGACATTTTAAGGTTGTCGTGATCGTAGGTGCCACTCAACTGGAGAAGAGATTGTATTACCATACGGAGTCGATAGCGTTCCCTCTGGCAGGTTTAGTTTAAGCCTCCGACTGCTGCTACTAAAACCTTAGCTGCGTGATCAGGAAACCCCACAGAGAATACTGTAGCGACCCTGTGTTTATAGCTCCGGATATCGACTCTGCCACACGAACATGCTTTTGCGGCACAGTCGATGGCGCGCAGAGCTACGGGCCAGAAGGTTGAGGGTATCGAGCCGCACTCCCTGCCTGTTTCATTACACTGGTGTCAGGAACACCACCGCAGACAAGCTCACTCTCCATGCCTGTTTCATTACACTGGTGTCAGGAACACCACCACAGACAAGCTCACTCTCCATGCCTGTTTCATTACACTGGTGTCAGGAACACCACCACAGACAAGCTCACACTCCCTGCCTGTTTCATTACACTGGTGTCAGGAACACCACCGCAGACAAGCTCACTCTCCCTGCCTGTTTCATTACAATACATATCAAGCTAATATGTTTTCTACGGTAGAACCATATTCAGCTGATAAAATGTATCTACATGTTCAGAATAAAATCCATAAAGACATTTCTACGGTAGAACCATCTAGAACCTTACCTGCATGTTCAGAGTAGAATCCATAAAAATATGTTCTAATTCGACGGTAGAACCATCTAGAACCTTACCTGCATGTTCAGAATAGAATCCATAAAGACATGTTCTAATTCTACGGTAGAACCATCTAGAACATTACCTGCATGTTCAGAATAGAATCCATAAAGACATGTTCTAATTCTACAGTAGAACCATCTAGAACCTTACCTGCATGTTCAGAATAGAATCCATAAAGATATGTTCTAATTCTACGGTAGAACCATCTAGAACCTTACCTGCATGTTCAGAGTAGAACTTCTCAGAGTCCTGTCTCCTCCACACCAGGTCTTTGGACCTGACAATGATGAAGTTGTTTTCCAGGATTCTCTGGTGAAGGGCCTGGAAGGTAGAGAAGCGTTTCTTCTCATCCAGATACTAAATAAGAGTATACAGTACTACTCTCATCTAAATACTAGACTCTCACCTACATTTTGGGACTATCATCACCATTGTCAAATGGTGTACTCTGAAAATGTCAACAACCCAATATTGATGGATGGTTTTACATCTTAGAAAAGGCGTCCCCCCTGATACTCCCCTCCTGTGCAGATGAAGGCAGACCGACAGACAATCGGCTTTAAAGGAACTGAAGTATTCAAATGGAACAGTGCAATAAATTGAATCTTTGATGGTCATTGCACCTTCCATCTCCTTTCTTTGAGCCAGTGGGCAGAGTAATTAAATAAGAACAAGAACAGAAGAGAAATCTAAACAACTGCTTGTTGCCTCAAATTCAGTTAATTTGTGATCCTATATGCACAATTAGAATATGCCAATAAGCTCTGTCCACTTTCCAATTGTGTTGATGATAACATTTGATTGACGATGCAGATGGAATTGGTGTTTATTATGTACCATTGAAAATGACTTCATAAATCAACTTCTCACAATCAATGTTTTAAAAGCTGATGTGATGAATTCCTAAAATGATCAAGTGTTTACAATAGGCAAAGATACTATCATACTGGTAACTAACCACAAGATACTATCATACTGGTAACTAACCACTAGATACTATCATACTAGTAACTAACCCAAATATACTACCATACTGGTAACTAACCACAAGATACTATCATACTAGTAACTAACCCAAAGATACTATCATACTAGTAACTAACCCAAAGATACTATCATACTGGTAACTAACCACTAGATACTATCATACTAGTAACTAACCCAAATATACTACCATACTGGTAACTAACCACAAGATACTATCATACTAGTAACTAACCCAAATATACTACCATACTAGTAACTAACCCAAATATACTACCATACTGGTAACTAACCACAAGATACTATCATACTAGTAACTAACCCAAATATACTACCATACTGGTAACTAACCACAAGATACTATCATACTAGTAACTAACCCAAATATACTACCATACTGGTAACTAACCCAAATATACTATCATACTAGTAACTAACCCAAATATACTACCATACTGGTAACTAACCACAAGATACTATCATACTAGTAACTAACCCAAATATACTATCATACTGGTAACTAACCACAATATACTATTATACTGGTAACTAACCACAAGATACTATCATACTGGTAACTAACCACAAGATACTATCATACTAGTAACTAACCCAAATATACTATCATACTGGTAACTAACCCAAATATACTATCATACTGGTAACTAACCACAAGATACTATCATACTGGTAACTAACCACAAGATACTATCATACTAGTAACTAACCCAAATATACTATCATACTGGTAACTAACCACAATATACTATTATACTGGTAACTAACCACAAGATACTATCATACTGGTAACTAACCACAAGATACTATCATACTAGTAACTAACCCAAATATACTATCATACTGGTAACTAACCCAAATATACTATCATACTGGTAACTAACCACAAGATACTATCATACTGGTAACTAACCACAAGATACTATCATACTGGTAACTAACCACAAGATACTATCATACTGGTAACTAACCACAAGATACTATCATACTAGTAACTAACCCAAAGATACTATCATACTGGTAACTAACCACAAGATACTATCATACTGGTAACTAACCCAAATATACTACCATACTGGTAACTAACCACGATATACTATCATACTGGTAACTAACCACAATATACTATCATACTGGTAACTAACCACAATATACTATTATACTGGTAACTAACCACAATATACTATCATACTGGTAACTAACCACAAGATACTACCATACTGGTAACTAACCAGAATATACTATCATACTGGTAACTAACCCCCTTTGTTCCCCCTTTTGTCTGTGCAATAGGTGTTGTCAAACAGTAGCTAGTCTGAAATGGCTCTGATATGTGATTGTAATTTGGTCCACAAAAACAGATGATTTCAACATGATTATCTGAATAGCCTAATGTGTGTGTGTGTGTGTCTATAGCCTACAGTATAATGTAGCCAGTGTATTTCCAATCACGGATTCCATTAAACAAACGCAAGCCATTAGCCATCAGTCACATAGACCTCACTCACCTCCAAGATGAGAGGATGCGCCATCGCATCTGGCTTGATCACCGCGAGGGTGAGCTGCAGTGCCTTCGCACAGCGATGTGTGGTTAACATTCCTGGAAAAATGGCAAAGAACAAAAGGTAGACAACTAAATAGTCACGGTAAGGCACAGAACACACGCCCTCCGTTTGCACAACAGTACCAGTTATCGTTCAGATTCAGCTTAGCTGGACAACGTTACAGAACACGGAAACAAATTGCACTGCACAGATGAATGTAACGTCGACAGGTGTATTGGAAATGGCCAACAAATAGCAGGCTACACCAGTTACTTTGACAGTATGAATTTTGCAAGAAAGTAAAATATCTGAAAGGTACAAAGCTTGTTTCTTAGTAGCTAACGTTAGATAATTTAATGTTTGCAGTGCTATTTATATGGGCGCCACCATTTTGGTAAATGCGTTAGCTACCGTTGTTAACGTTATTGGGAATTATTCGCTACATCAAAATATTAATTACACGTCAACAATAACATACGTTTTGAGGCAGTTAAAATCAATCTTTGGATCTAAATATATTATTAATATTCATTAGATTTTTCTGCCCTTTCTCCTACCTGATCCGCTCTTAAAGAGTCCCCAAGTTTCTCAACCCCAATTTTTAGTTCCACATGTTTAATGTTCCGCGTATTTCACACATTCTACAGGAGATGGCAGATGGCGATATTGAGTCATTTCATCTGACCTTCCAAAGGGACAGCATGCAGCCGGCGAAACACTCCTATCCTGTGGACCGGTTCGTACATAAAACTTTCTCCATTCAGGCTGCAAAGGCGTCCATTTCCTCCTTAACTCGATTTTATTGAGAGAAGGCGGGGGAAAATATGTGTACTTTCTTTAAGAAACACAATTTTCCACCACTGCTAGAGTGGCTAATGCTACTTCCTGATGTTGTACCAACTTTCAGCCAGGGATAAACAACAGACTGCTGCAACCCGATTAGCTGAACTCAATATGCAACATCCGGAACTAGCATTCCAAGGCATTATCCACTCTAGCATGGTGGTGGAAAATGGTTTCATAAATAAAATACTCATATTTTCCCAGTTTTCTCCCGCCTTCTCGCCATTAAGTCGAGTTAAAGGGATACTTTAGGATTTTGGCTATGAAGCCCTTTATATAACTACTTTCCCCAGAGTCAGATGAACTTGTGGATACCATGTTTATATCTCTGTGTGCAGTTTGAAGGAAGCTGCTAACGAGCATTAGCGCAGTTGCTAATTAGCATTAGCGCAATGACTGTTTTTCGTCTGTGGTAACTGCTAGCATGATAGTAGATAGCGCAGTGACTGGAAGTCTATGTTAACGCTAGTTAGCATTGGCTCGCGAAACTAACTTTGACTAACTTCATACTGGATGCAGAGACATAAAATGGTATCCATGAGTTCATTCATTCTCCCGAGTGGCGCAGTGGTCTAAGGCACTGCATCGCAGTGCTAGCTGTGCCACTAGAGATCCTGGTTCGAATCCAGGCTCTGTCGTAGCCGGCCGCGACTGGGAGACCCATGGGGCGGCGCACAATTGGCCCAGCGTCGTCCAGGGTAGGGGAGGGAATGGCCGGCAGGGATGTAGCTCAGTTGATAGAGCATGGTGTTTGCAACGCCAGGGTTGTGGGTTCGTTTCCCACGGGGGGCCAGTATAAAAATAAAAATAAAAATGTATGCACTCACTAACTGTAAGTGGCTCTGGATAAGAGCGTCTGCTAAATGACTAAAATGTAAATGTAAAAATGTAAATCTGACTGGGGAAGGGGAAGTAGATAAAGGGCTTCATTAACAAAATCCCGAAATATCCCTTTAAAGAGGAAATCCACACCTTTGCAGCCTGAATGGAGAATGTTTTATGTATGAACTGGTCCATGGGGGATACGAGTGTATAGCCAGGCTGCATACAATTCCTTTGGACGGTAAGATGAAACAACTCAATAAAAAATAATGGTCATATGTCTTGTGCGTTGCACTAGTGTTCAATTTGACAAATGAATAATTGTAGAATTTTGTAATGCCAATGCACATCAAATATGAAAGAAGAAAAAATTAACGTTCCCTTTGTGGCACAATCACTGAAGAACGTCTTGTACACACAAAACCAACATCTAGGCTAGTTGATCGGCCCCCCCTTTACCCCACCCCACCCCCCAAATCCATCCACCTCTGGCCTGCTGGCCCCCCTACCTCTGGCCTGCTGGCCCCCCTACCTCTGGCCTGCTGGCCCCCCTACCTCTGGCCTGCTGGCCCCCCTACCTCTGCGGAAGCATAGTTCCCGCTCAGCCCAGTCAAAACTGTTCGCTGCTCTGGCACCCCAATGGTGGAACAAGCTCCCTCACGACGCCAGGACAGCGGAGTCACTCACCACCTTCCGGAGACATTTGAAACCCCACCTCTTTAAGGAACACCAGGGATAGGATAAGTAATCCTTCTACCCCCCCCCCCCTCCCTTACCCCACCCCACCCCCCCAAAAAAAAATAATAATAATAATTGTAAAGTGGTTATCCCACTGGCTATAAGGTTAATGCACCAATTTGTAAGTCGCTCTGGATAAGAGCGTCTGCTAAATGACGTAAATGTAAATGTAAATGTTGATCAGTGTACTGTTCTGTACACTCTGTGTGTTGATAGATAAACATAGCCATGATGACAAGTCCATCATCTTGTTCCTCTTACAGCCATGGTATCCACAGTCCATCAAACATACTCTTTAAGCTCTTTAAGCATTTCATTGTGCTGCGTGGACCCCCGTACATATGACAAATAAACTTGACTTCACTCAGACACCATCTAAACAACACCAGTTTGGTTTGCATCACTTGATTTTAAAGACGTTTTTTATGCAATCCACAAAAAAATATTTCTGCAAGAAAAAAATGTCTAATTTATGTTGGTGTAATAAAGGAAAGTCACACATTGGGAGTTACAATGAGGATGGAGTGACAGACAGTGAGTGTACAAAACATTAAGAACAACTTCCTGATATTGAGTTGGGTTGCAGTTCTAGACACACTCAAACCGGTGCGCCTGGCACCTACTGCCGTACTCCATTCAAAGGCACTTAAATATTTTGTCACCCTCTGAATGGCACACATACTGTACACGATCCATGTCTCAATTGTCTCAATTGTCTACGATCCTTCTTTAACCTGTCTCCTCCCCTTCATCTACACCGATTTTGAAGTTAATTTAACAAGTGACATCAATATCATACAGGGATCATATCTTTCATCTGGATTCACCTGGATCCACCTGGTCAGTTTATGTCATGGAAAGAACAGGTGTTCCTGATGTTTTTTACACTCAGTGTATGTGACAGATCTTTGTCTTTGGAATACTGTCAATGTGAGAGACTGGCCATGACAGCTCTGAACACCTGGCAATACATTCCTACAGAGAGGGATGTCACACCCTAGAAAATAGGAATGTGTGGGGGGGGGGGGGGGGGGGGGGTGAGAAGGAGAGAGAGAGAGAGCTGGGGAAGGAAGAGAGAGAGAGAGATAAAACTAGAATGCTATTTGGCTCTAAACAGAGAGTACACAGCGGCAGAATACCTGACCACTGTGACTGACACAATATTAAGGAAAGCTTTGACTATGTACAGACTCAGTGAGCATAGCCTTGCTATTGAGAAAGGCCGCCGTAGGCAGACCTGGCTCTCAAGAGAAGACAGGCTATGTGCACACTGCCCACAAAATGAGGTGAAAACAGCTGCCCTTCCTAACCTCCTGCCAAATGTATGACCATATTAGGGACACATATTTCCCTCAGATTACAGCGATCCACAAAGAATTCGAAAACAAACCCAATTTTGATAAACTCCTTTATCTACTGGGTGAAAAACCACAGTGTGCCATCACAGCAGCAAGATTTGTGACCTGTTGCCACAAGAAAAGGGCAACCAGTGAAGAACAAACACCATGGTAAATACAACCCATATTTATGTTTATTTATTTTCCCATTTGTACTTCAACACATCTTTACAACACCTTATATAGCCATTATATGACATTTGAAATGTCTCTTCCTTTTGAACTATTGTAAGTGTAATGGTTACTGTTCATGCCTGATTCTTTATGTCACTTTTGTTTATTGTCTATTTCCCTTGCTTTGGCAATGTAAACATATGTTTCCCATGCCAATAAAGACCTTTGAACAAATAAAATGAGAGTAGGGAGGGGAGTTGGGTGGCACACAGATTTTGTCCCACCTGCCACAGCCATGTGACCTATAGCATAACATGTGTCACCACAGCTGTTACCTCCTCTGGGGGTGAGGAGGGGGGAGGGGGGAGGGGAGAGAGAGATGGTCCGGAGTAGCCGTGGTCAGTTGGTGCAACCCTGTGCCTCACATTTCTTACTCCCAGAGGGGTGGTGGTGGTGAGAGGAGTGAGGGTGGTGGTGGTGAGAGAGGTGAGGGTGGTGGTGGTGAGAGAGGTGAGGGTTGTGGTGGTGAGAGAGGTGAGGGTTGTGGTGGTGAGAGAGGTGAGGGTTGTGGTGGTGAGAGAGGTGAGGGTTGTGGTGGTGAGAGGGGAGGTGGTATTTGTATTTATTAAAGATCCCCATTAGTTCCTGCCAAGGCAGCAGCTACTCTTCCTGGGGTCCAGCAACATTAAGGCAGTTATATACAATTTAAAATATTACATGACATTATATTTCATAACACTTTACCCAATACATTCAGTGTGTTCCCTCAGGCCACTACTCCACTATCACATATTTCCAATACAACATCCATGCGTACGTGTGTGTAGAGTGCGTGTCTTATCATGAGTATGTGTGTCTGTTCACAGTCCCCGCTGTTCCACAAGGTGTATTTGTATCTGTTTTTTAAAATCTGATTCTACTGCTTGCATCAGTTACCTGATGTGGAATAGAGCTCCATGTAGTCATGGCTCTATGTAGTACTGTGCCATAGTCTGTTCTGGACTTGGGGATTGTGAAGAGACCTCTGGTGGCATGTCTTGTGGGGTATGCATGGGTATCTGAGCTGTGTGCTAGTAGTTTAAACAGACAGCTCGGTGCATTCAACATGTCAACACTTCTTACAAATACAAGTAGTGATGAAG